TCTAATATGCAATGGCTCGAGGTAGTGATGATAAGTTAAATGCCTGCGTGTGACCATGAATGCGTATAAAACTACGTGCATTGTGAATGCGCTGGGAATAGAGCGCAGAAGAATAAATTGGCAAACAGTGAATTCCGTTACTATAAATGTACCTATGAAACAGACATAAAAGAGCAATGTTGCGGCGTATTTCTAGTGACTGAAATGCAAGGTCTTGTTTTATTAGAGTAATACTTGAATGATAGTCGTAGTTTCCGGAGATGAATCTCGCTGCCCTATTCTGGACGGCTTCCAACATACGTACCAAGTAATCTTGATATGGTGACCATGTGGATGATGCATACTCTAGCTGTGGGCGAACATAAGTAATATATGATAATGCGCGTACGTTAGAAGGAGCGTTGCGCAAGTTTCTGCGGAGAAATCCGAGAGATTGAGATGCTTTCGATGAGACAGCTGCTATATGTGTAGTCCAGGATAGATCCGATGTAAGGTGAACGCCTAAATATTTGTAAGATGGTGTAGCTGACACAACGGCGTTATTAATCTTATAGTGAAATGCTGAATTGGTATGCTTTCGAGTGAACGAGATTGACATGCATTTAGAGGCGTTAAGGGACATCTGCGAAGTTTCGCATCACCGGAAGGTTAAGTCAAGGTCATTTTGGAGAGCCGAATGATCATTAAAACATTTAATGTTGCGGTATATGGCGCAATCGTCAGCAAACAACCCAACTGTGGATGAAAAGTTATCGGGCAAATCATTAAAGTATATGTGAAAAAGTAACGGACCTATTACACTGCCTTGGGGAACACCGGATGTGACGTCGCAAAGGTTAGATGAAATGTCGTTGATCACCGTAAGTTGCTCACGCGAAGAGAGGAAGCTTCGTAGCCAAGACAGGATTAATGAATCAATACGGAGTGCAGCCAATTTAGAGATTAAAGGACAATGAGGGCAGTATCGAATGCCTTGGCGAAATCAAGGAAGAGGCAATCGGTTTGTTCGTTAGCGTTCATATTAAAGTGAAGGTCAGTCGTGAATTAGAATAACTGGGTGTCACATGAGTAGCCTTTTCTAAAGCCATGCTGATGGGAGAAGAAGAAGTTGTGTGATTCAAGGTGATCGTAGATATCAGAAGCCACGATATGTTCAAGTAGTTTGCAAGAGATGCATGTAAGTGAAATGGGTCGATAATTACGGGGTGAGTGCCTGTCACCGGACTTAAATACGAGAATCACCTTACCAATCTTCCAATCCTTGGGCAGTTCGTCTGATGATAGCGACTGGTTAAATAGGAGACAGAGGAAGCGGCTGGAAATATCTGTGGTGTTCTTCAGTATTTTAGAGTTAATGTTATCAATACCTGATGAAGTAGAAACCTTAAGATTCGTGATGAGTTGGGCTATACCTTCGGCAGTGACAATGATTGAGGCCATTTAAGCGAAAGAGTGATCTGGAACAAATGGCACATTGGAACAATCTTCCTGTGTAAAAACAGAAGCGAAGTACTCATTGAAAGCAATAGCGGAAGCTTCATCAGAAAGCGGCGTTAGTTCACTATTATGTATTGTAATGTGATTAGGAGACTTGTTGTAGGGTGAAATTATTTGCCAGAACTTTCTGGGGTTATTTTTGAGAAGTGACGCCAAGTCCTGCGAATAATATTTCTTCTTAGCTGTGTCTAAGGCTTTACAATAGTCTTGTAAGCAGACCTTGTATTTATCCCAGTAGGACACAGAGCCAATGCGTTTTGAGGTATCATAGAAACGTTTCTCTTTATTTCGTAATGTTCGAAGATGTTTAATAAACCAAAGGTTAGTTTTATCGTTGGATGCAGAGATCAGCGGCACAAGCTGGTCAACTAACTCTAATATTTTTTCTTTAAAAAGAATCCAGTTTTCATTCACGGTTCGTGAGGCAAACGACGGCAAAAAAAGTTCCTGATAAAAATCTTCTAGCTCCATCCTGAATTGATGAAAATTAACACGGTTCTAATCCCGGATTGTTTTTCTCACTGAGCCTGTGAAAGTTACAGGTAGGTTGATTTGAAAGTTAAGGAGCTTGTGGTCGCTAAATCCTTCTATGTAAGAAATCGCTCCAGTGGTTTCTGGTGCATTAGTGAAAACAAGGTCAAGTATGTTAGTACCACGGGGGCATTGGTGAACAACTTGTGATAAGTTGTAATTGAGGGTTACTTCGAGAAAATTTGATGAGGCGTGACATGTGGTAGTCATGGTATACAAATCAATGAGTGGGTAGTTGAAATCGCCAAAAAGGTATATAATGTCAGCTGAATAGAGTTGCGTAGCTCGTTCTATGTTGTCACAAAGATCTTTGGGGAAAAAGGAATGGGCATCCGGTGGACGATAACATGCTCCTATAAGTATTTTGGCATAAGTTGTAACGCATGCAGTCCAAGTTATCTCTGTAGAGGGGTTAGTATCAAGGGGAACTGATGACACTGTCTTTTTTACTGCTATTAGGACGCCTCCTCCTCTTCTATCGACACGATCACGTCGATATATGTTATAGTTGTGTTTATCTGGGAACAGTTCCTCGTTGGTTATGTCAAGATAGAGCCAAGTCTCCGTGAGTATTAATATGTCGGCATCACTATCATCTAAGTAAGAACTCAACTCATCCCTCTTGAGAAGTAGGCTTTGAATGTTAGTAAAAGACACAGATAAAGATGGCGACTTAAACTGACTCCACTTACGCATGCTCGTGTTAGCCTCTAGCTATCTCGTAGACTGCACAACTACGTTGCTAGGGTGATCGAAAACGTAGGTGTTAGTGTCAATGCGAAGTTTATCAACGGATAACTTAAAGCGTTTGTTTTGAGCCTTTGCGTATTCCAGAAGTTTTTGGCGAGCTTGTCGCGTCTTCATGGAAAAATCTTCGCGTATGTAAAAATTTGTTCCCTTAAGCTTATGCGAATTTGACAAAATTTGCTCTTTGTCCTTGAAAAATGTGAACTTTACAATAATTGGCCTTCGTCTATCTGTGTTAAATCTGCCCAGCCTGTGCACGCGCTCTAATTGTAGACTAGTTATGGAAGTGCCTAGGTGGTCTGAACAAAACTTCACTATCTTATCTTCTGAGACTTCCCAGTTCTCATTGGGGTCATCTTCAATGCCGAAAAATAGAAAGTTAAACCAACGTAACCTATTTTCCGCATCGTCGCACCTATTCCTAATTTTTGACAGTTGGTTCGTCACAGTGCGCAAAGCGTCAACAGAGCCAGAAGGGGCGGTCACAGACCGAGTAGCGGTGATTTCTTCTAGTGAATTCACCTTGGTACTCAAACTTTTAATTTTGCTGTCTGCTGCTTTCATTTTGTCCGACATGGCACGAAGGGCATCGGCATCCGCACCAGCCCCATCAGCGATTCGAACAGCGTTGGCTTTTTCAAGCGTTTCTACTTTGCGCTGTAGCTGTTTAATTTCAATCTCGGCGGTAGCATGTTTTGAGAGCAAAGCTTCGTAACTTTCCTTCAGATCGCGTATTTCAGTAAGGGCTAGAGCGAATGTGTCGGTCTCCGTCTTATTCATAGGACCGGGATTTGATTCCACATCACCGGCCAGTATTAATAAAAGTTCACGCATGGCACCACATACGTACATGCAAGATAATAATCGCTTCAAAGCACTCCTAAGCTCAAATGGGCACGACACCACAAGGAAGGAACGGTTGCTACTTCTTATGCAAGAAGCATTATTTAAGTAACCAACCTGAAACAGCAAAGGGTGTAAGCATGGCATCCTTCCAGCGGTGTCGAGCCCAAACCAGCAAGTCCCAGACTGACACTTAAATAGAGCACTGCGCTGTCCAGCCATCGTGACAGAAGAGCCATGTTGCCAGGCGAGAAGGTCGTTTCCATTCATGTTTGGAAAACTGAGCGTGACCGGTCGCCATTCCAGAAGCCAGGAATTGGGCACCAGCCAAGACGACCCAGAAACTCCCCTGTGCGCAGCACAGCTAAGGTCAGTCAGCCAAGAGGCGTTTCCCTTTCCCGAGCAGGTGAAATCAATCACTGCGCGAGGAATGGGCGTCGAACACGGTGAAATTAGACTGGAGCAAGGCGCAACAACCGAAGCAGGCCAGGAGGAGCCCAGCAGCCTACAGCATGTTGCCCAGGTAACAGTGACCTGAAACAGCAAAGGCCGTAAGCATAGCATCCTTCCAGCGGTGTCGAGCTCAAACCAGCAAGTCGCAGACTGACGCTTAAATAGAGCACTGCGCTGTCCAGCCATCGCGACAGAATAGCCATGTTGCCAGGCGAGAAGGTCGTTTCCATCCATGTTTGGAAAACCGAGCGTGACCGGTTGCCATTCCAGAAGCCAAGAATTGGGTACCAGCCAAGACAAGCCGGAAACTCCCCTGTGCGCAGCACAGCTGAGGTCAGTCAGCCAAGAGGCGTTTCCCTTTTGCGAGCAGCTGAAATCAATCACTGCGCGAGGAATGGGCGTAGAACACTGTGAAGTTGGACTGGAGCAAGGCGCAACAACTGAAGCAGGCCAGGAGGAGCCCAGCAGCTCACAGCATGTTGCCCAGGTAACAGTGACCTGAAACAGCAAAGGCCGTAAGCATGGAATCCTTCCAGTGGTATCGAGCCCCTATTAATAAATCAGTTGGAAGTGAGCTCTGTGCGTGTTTGATGCCTGGGTGTGTGTGTGTGTGTGTGATTGTATCGTGTTTTTGCACTCGAACCAATTTTTTTGAAATTCAGGTATAACTTCGCACTTTTTGCCTTCATAAAATTCTTGGAGGAGACATTTTGGCAATGTTCAAAATAGTAAAGCTTCATGTAATTCACAGCACATTTTGCACGTTGACATGAGCAAGGACACATAATGTGCTAACCAGTTGTGCATTTCAGAAAGGCTGGTACCGTAATATAATTGCATAGTTAACAGCTGGTAATGCTTGAAAGCTAGACAGAAAAGCTGTCTGTAAATGCTGGGCTGTGATTCCAATGCAAGTACCTTGTTTACAGAGAGCCGGCTGAATGACTTAAGTGCCATGGAGACGAGGTGCAGCAGATGCCGGACCACTTATTTTGTCAACTCATCACAGCTGGCTCTCATTGAAGATGACCACATTCCATTTTTAAGGAGAAGTGAGTGAATATTTTTGTCACGTAATAGGTTCTCTGCTGTTGATAATACGAACAGCAAATGTGCTGCCAATCAAGAGACTTTGTTTTATAATAGCTTAAGTGACTGCGGTTTTATGCCTGAGAGTGGGGCCCAGTATTTGTCGGTGTAACTTGTTTTCGGCACTTCTATGAATTTGTGGCTGCAAAACAGAGTTGGCAGCTCCGGTAATAAGCGGACTTGGGCTTCGTTTTTTATCAAGCCGCTTGTAGAATTTCTCATTCACTTTTCATGCTTTTTGGACCTATTTGCATTTTTCCAGCTTGTACGTAGTTATTTTAGTGATCATCCTGTATGCCAATAGCGCGTTTGTCGATGATATTGAGTAGTTGAGAGTTAAGCATAGGCTGAGCGAATCAAAAACAAATGTTAATTGTGCACCGACAAAAACACATTCAAGCAAATAGTAACTATACTGCAACACATTTGAAAAGTAAATATTGCCACCAGGTCATGAACTGTCCTTTCGTCCATAGTTGTGCATATTTTAACTTGGCAGTTTTTTCGAGTACGTGGGTGACATTTCTTATTATGAACAAAAATATTACAACAAAAACCTCGAGATGTCATTTTCATCATTTCAGCTTCCTGTGTTGTCTGCAATCATCTACCGATATTACTCATGTTGTGTTTAACCATGTTTTCACACATGTTATTTCTAACCAGTTTAATGATATTATGTAAACCCACCCCTTTCTTAATGCCCCTGTTGGGCTTCTAGAAAATGAAATGAAATAATAAAAAAGAACAAAAATATTTAATATTTCTTGCAGTGCATTTTTTTACTAGTTATCCTTCATTTTTTTGCCCATGTCTTATTTCGCGGCATGACAGTTGTCATGCAAAATTCGATCGCGTCTGGTTGGTGGCTTTTGTGCATGCTTATGTAATTCACTTTCTTTTCTATTTAACTTTTTGTCTCTTTGTGTAAAAGTGAAGCCTTGCTTTTTATTCATAGTGTCTTTAAACTGTACGAAATTGCGTTTGCCTTCAATTATGTGTTAGAGCTTTCAAATACCCTTCCAAAAGTGCTAAGTACTTGCAAGACATTTGAGCTTCGTCTTCAAGAGGAAAACGCTATAGCATAATCGGGCCCGCACTCGCATTGCCTTCGATCATGCAGCAAGGAGAAGAATGTTTGTGTGTGTAATGTTGCCGGTTTAAACTATCCTAGAATGTATACCGTGATGTAAAGTTCTTTGCCAATTCACGAGGTACACACGACTCATCTATAAAGTGCCGTGTGTACTTGTGTAGCTGCACATTTGTAATGAATGGACAGCTTTTATTTGTAGCACAATTTTCAGGTTTTGGCACCTGGTGTGATTATACAATCCTTCCACATATTATTACATGCTCAGGAGACTCTTTGCACTACAAGATATTCGTATTGTCTTTTTCCCAATCAGTTTAAAACAATAACATCCTAGTAGAACTGAAAGGCAGGCAAGTTGTAATTTATCTATAATTGGGCAGCACACAAAAGGAAACACACAATATAAGAAACAGGACAAGCACTAGTCTAACAACTGAAAATTTATTTGAAAGAAAGCACATATATATATATATATATACATACATATATATTTATTATATTTATATACATACATACATATACAGAAAATTATGTGCCATGCAAGATTACATCCGATCGATGAAACAAATTTCTTGCTCTTATAAAGCAGCAGATGGCTGGCTAACGCGATTGCCAACACATTTCGTCGTGTGGTAAGCCTCCGCAATCTCAGGTGTTCGTTGATTATGATGGCGATCTATAATTGACGTCTGCTCAAAGGGAGTGCAACCGCACTCACGGCAGTGACTGGCGAGGGGAGACGATTACCCCACCTTTTAAAGAATCGTGATGCTCCCGCAGCCCAATATTCAGGCGTCTGTCTGCACGTGCAAAGAATTTTATAAACTCACTGATCGAACACGCAGTGTCTTTCTTAACATGCTTGATTGAGCAAGCGTTATCAACCGCCCTTTTACTTCCTTCTACGCATCTTTGAATCGCTCTGTGGTAGAACACCTAGCTAGCTGCTTGCCACATAGACGGCCTGGGTTCAATTCTCACATCGAGTTTACTTACATTTAATGTGAACGAAGTGAAGTTGACTCACTCACTATGAACAAGAAATGTTTCTTACTTATTTTATTTGCATTTTTCACAAGTTTTTGATCACGGACATGTTTGTTGTTTTCCCCTCACAACCAACAATGATGACATCGAAATTTCGGTGCACTAAGCTCTTTCATGCTATCGCATTAGCGCATTTGTTCCCAGGCCACAGGCTGTAGCTTGAAGAAAAGAAGCATAAATTGAAGGATATACTATTGTCTTTCTTAGATACATTAATGGGAACTAGCAGACATTCATGCCAAGGAAACAGGGGACATTGCTACAAGTAATTGTAATGTAAATATGTAGAAAGAGAAGTGCACAAAAAGATAACTTGCCACAGGCTGAGACCAAACCTGCGATCTTCAAATAACGCGTCCGATGCTCTGCGGTGGCGGTCATCGCCCTATGTACTTTATTGGGTATAAGTCGAGCTCTCTTATAACGAACCTGATCGTGACACAGCATTCGTTCGCTGTATCCCGAAGTTTGCGGTAAATGAAACACAGCTTTAAAAAAGTTGCAAGTGAGGACAAAAAGTCTGTGATGCACGTGTTTCGAATAGCAGAAGTGATAAGGATGGTCTCGAGTTTATTTAAAGCGACAGCGTTCTCTTTGCCCACTACATTTACAAGCGACCTGATACTATTAATGTGGCCGGTTGCTACAAGCACGCTTGTGGAAGGGGCTCCTAAGGTTCGTCATGCTCGTCATACAATTCCTCCAAATCGATCTTGTGGTGCACTTCATTCACAATGCCCTCCCCTCATCTGTGCACGGCTCCGTATCGTCGGCCTCAATATGGGCCATAATGAAATCATCGCAACAGATGTCCCGCACACCTTCCAATTTTGAAGTCGACGACGCACTGTCAGAAATCGCGGCTGGAGGGGTCCTGTTCGGAAGCTCCAGGCTTGGCATTGGGTCCAACATCGACGAAGTTGGCCTTGCAAAAGCAGTTTCGTACACATGTAGCTGTCACTGCTGCCCACGAAGGCTTAGCCATCTCTGCAGCTGCATACTGGGACACTCTGAGAGCTGCTGGGCGATCAACAGATATAAGCAAGGGCTCTACAACGCGGAACGTAGAATAAGTCATAAATGCGCGAACTATGCCCAAGCCAAGCGGTCACAGTTGACGATTTGTTGAGCAGTGGAGAAAAGCACGGAAGGCCTCCCGTTCGACAATCCTTACCACTAACGCACACTAACAGCAAGCAAGACGCGCATGCATCATGCAGACGCCAGCACGCATGGAACTGCTTTGGGCTCGTTTCTAGTCAGAAACCAAAACTTCCAAGTTCGAGCCAGTGTGAGTGGCGGCTAGCGTCACAGAAAGGTGGAGACAGACGAAGTTGCAATAAAGAGAGGATAGCAGACTTGCGAGAGACATTCGGAGGTGGTGGTAGTAAGAAGATGAAAAAGATGGCTAATTTCTGCAGCCCAGAAGGGAGCATGGCGCAGCCCCTGTATCATATGCTCAGTTTGGTGATGGCACTCACTCCTCCGCGCAAGGGGAGGGCGCGGGCAGATTGTGTTCATTGATGACATTGAGCTGCAAGTACTGGCCATCGTGCGAGTTGATGCTCTCTACTGTATGGGGCGCCAGGTATTCGCACAGTGCTCATTCTGAAATTTGCGCACGAAACAATGTATTTCTGAAAGCTTTGTGTGCATGGGATTTGGTGGTTTATAATTGCGTTGCCCCCCTGTGCCTATGAATCCTGCCAGTGCATTTGTTCAGCTGATTCGCACTTTGTGATTCAGTGCATGTATACCTTGAAGCCGCATATGATTCGAGTACACGTCAGCGGCCTTGTCGCTGGCTACGCCTCGAAATGGGCAAGGGGTGTTTCGTCCCGAATTTCAAGTCGGGGTGTCAGATTTGTACGAAGCGTGCATTGCTTTTCAATGCTCCACGTGAACCGGAGCGCTTAAATAAGTGGCGACGAGTGATTCTCAAAGTTGATGGAGCCTTGCAGCCTACTGACCATACGTGCGCAAAGCATTTCCAGGTAGAAGCGATGATCTCTGCCACATATCATGCAGAATAGAAACGAAACGTCCTGTTGCATGCACCAAAAAAATCTATGCTCACTTCATATGCTAACTAAGCCTGCCATTTTACCAGGATGTCCAAAATACCTGACCATGCAGCTAAAAACCAGGAAAGCTCTGAAATAACAGCTGGCTTTAACTGTCGACATCTCGAATATGACAGAGACCAAAAGGTTCAACTGCATCTGAAGTGCCTGACATGATCGCTGAAAGAACGCCAAGTTTATTGCGCGTAGAGACGGTTTTTTCATAGCATGGTGGTGATGAATCAGCAGGTAGCGGTTTCACATCGTCAGCGATGGGCCTCGTCCATGTAAGAGGAGGATGCTTCTCAACAAGACACTGATATTTTGGGCCTCTGCGCTACAAACTCAGTTGTTCATCACGCCAGAGAAGTAATTCTTTGTTTTAAATTGAAAGCCACATTTTTGAGCTGCCTCATTTGTGCCTATCTGGACCAAGAAAAACAAATGTAGGTTAACCAGTGCACAGAAATCATTGTACAGAGGAGTCCACTGTTAAAGGAAACACCAGAGCGCGTGTCATCTGCTTGGCGCCACTGCTGGCCGACAGCGGAAACTTGTTTCGCGCAAGAGCAGTGAGCGCAGTGGGCGGCACTCGTTTGTCGTTTGCTACAGTTGCGGCCATGCTTCAGCTCGTCGTGAAGCGCTGCCTTGGTCGCGGAATCTTTAGTTGTTTTCCTTCGAGCTAGAATGAAAATGTCTGTAAGGATCTATATTCAGATAGCTATCCCCTGGCCCATCAGCCGTCTTTCGTTCTCCG